GCACGGCCCACGAACTGCGAATTGCGCTGCGTTAGCTGGGGTCAAGTTATGTTACGTCTGGCCAGGCTTCAAGGCAACAAAGTTCCTGCAATGATAGGTAAGAGATCTTGGGCAGCGATCCAACGTAACCATATCCAACCCCACTTCTAAATGTCGGCCTGATCAAACGGGAGTCAGAACTTGCCAACCTCACAAATTCTGTGACATAACCCAAGCTAATGCAGTCCAGACTACTCTTGCGAACTGCCAGCTGCACCTCAGTTTACCGAATGCCCCTCTTTCAGTTCACCTATTCTGGTTCACCGAAAACCCTGTCACCCTTGCACTATATGTGCTAGTAGTGGACTTGGGTGATGTTGTGAAAAGTTGCTAGTGAAAATCAACTTCATTCATCTCGCCAACTCTTCCGAACGTAGGGCCACTGCATTTGTAGAATGTTTGGTAGTAGGGTTGGATTTTTTGTTCCTTGGGGGCAGAGCTCATTCCTGAGTGAATTTTTTTCACTGGAACCACATTGAGGCGACAATCCCAGACTACCACTGCATATGGAGCACACCCTCCGAAAAAGAGGCGTGGCGTTGCAAGCCGTTGCGATGTCCATTACAGTTAACGGGGCTTCATACGGAGTTCCAGCGGCTGTGTGATGATTGGTACTTTCAACAGTGACATCCGCGTTGGCTGTTGTTTCTTATCAGGTTTCATATGATTATTGCTACGGTCACTACTGCAGCATGCTGCAGCAGAATTCTAGTGATGCATCCCTTGCTATGCCGCAGGCAAAGTTTGCAGCTTTCCACCATGCTGTCAACACCGGGGACGGGGTGCTGCCTTGGAGAATTGCAAACAGCCGTGACAGCCGTGACCATGTGAATCCTGCCACAACATTAGCACGGAAACGAAGTGAACGCTTGCGTGTCAGATGCTGCGCTTGATTGAGACTTGCCGCCGGCAGGACAAGCCGCAACTGCTACACTCCGTCCGACAGCAGGCCAATCGTAAGGATGTCAGGAAAAACGCATGTCGTAGAATGCGCTGCTTATGCTATCAATGGCTCAGCAATGACAGGCATCGGTCTTTACTTCCCCGTATCATCGACTCATTGTCTTTCATGATTAGTTTGCCCAACTTCAGATTTCAGGAGAGAGGTAGGTAAAGTGGGACCCCGAACAGTTTGTTGTAGGGTCCAGGGTTAAGTTGTTGCCCAAGTGTGGTCGCGACATGCAGAACTGTCGTTGCTTTTGGAGCCCCCTCGCGCGAGAAGAGGAGAGGAGAGGACAGGAGAGGAGACGAGAGAGAGGGGAGAGGAGATAGGACAGAGGAGAGAATCAAGTTACCACCGCAGATAGGATTCACGATGGCTTTAGAATTGGAGCAGCCTCACAAGAGGATCATATGGTTAGCTTCGGTATTCAACCAAGCACACGGGTTAACTGAAGGTGCGGGCTGCGCAGCTTCACAGACAATCTCCAGGCCAGGCTACCGAAAGTTGTTTGGGTTTGGATTTTGCGGTGTGCATTGCAAGGACTTTCGCTGGAAAGTCGAGATGTTTCGCTAAGCATGAGAGGATCGAGGTGACATTTTACCAACATTTGAGAATGAAACCTCTGGTTACAATGGTTACAACGGATCCCCGATGAGTATAAATCCAAAGTTGCCATGCTTGTCCAACCACGTGAGCAGGCTCCCAAGTTCAACAATTGGTCCTCCTTGTCCGGGGATGGTTTGCTCAGGGGACTGCGGGCGCGAAAGTCATGCGAAATAGCCAGTTTTTCCATCATCTCAGCTTACCTTTGAATCTGATGCGCTGTTTCAGATTCGAAATACTACACAGAGACCACGAATTGTTAAACACAAGAGATGTTTCGTAAGAGCTTGGGTCCTGGAGGTTGAAATGCAAGCAGTACCTGAAGGTCCGGGTTCTGAGCATGTGCCTGGTTACATGTGCCCGAACATGGTATCACTGTATCACTTACATTCATAACTCTAGCTCGGGAACATTCTAGCGGGAGGTTTTCAACACCGACTCTGCATTATCCAATCCCCTGCTCATTCCGCAATATCATCACAATCAATCAAAAAGTGAAGACCACTCCATTTTGAGAAGCCGTCAAGTGTCATGAGGTTTTCTGGAGAAGATGCCTCCATGGCATCCACGCCCTGAAGGCTGGCAACTTCAGTGAAGTCCATGCCAAGAAGCTTCGGATTTTGCGGATTTTAAATATGGGTTCCGGATTCGGTGGTTTCAGGGTCTCTGAAAGTTTGTATTGGGCATGTACCCTAGGATGAAGGGCTCCTGCGGGGGGCCCATGTTTTTAATCTTTGATGGAGGGGAATTGCTTTGAGTTTGCGTCGAGATTAAAATCAAGATCCACCACCTAAGTTCATAGCCACCTAGTGACCTGGTGAAAAGTTCGGGAACATTGTCTTTTCGGTCTGTGCACTCTGTCCAGGTTATGGACCTGGAGAACGGTTAGTATTTCTCTGTTGGTTCAGGTGACATACACGCGGATTATGATTAAGTCTGTCCAATACTATGGTCATGTTTGGATGTACAGCCAGTTCCAATTGCAAAAGGCCATTTGAGGCCGACATTCATAATGCCGGGGACGGCTGTTTCTTATCATGTTCATATTATCTCAGAGGCACTGGATCTCAAACGCATGGCTACAAATTTATGCCAGGAAACGGATCCCGATACGCCTAAAAGTTGCTGTTGGCTCTTGACGACCGAATTGACGTGATGTCGCAGTCCTTAAGAGCATCCATGCAGCCATGTGCAACAACCCGCCGTGCCCTGAAACCCTAAACTCAAAGCGAATCTCCATGCTGATCCCACTGTATTTGGCATTAGTTGGCATTCTGGGTCCACCTGCTTCCTATGGCCAAGTGAGAGGGTTTGGCCAGCTGCGAGGCTCAAACCTTGCTGACCAAATTCACCAGTGCAGATCTGAGAGTTGAAGAGGGATGACTCCAGATGTACAGGGAGTTTAGGCTTTAGGACTAATGGAAAAGAAAATGGAAACTACTATCACGGGTTGTGGGCTTACTTTTGGCTTCAAGCTTTGCATACCTGAGGGGCAAGACTTTTCATGAGGCCTTGCAAGGTGCCTGAAGTGGGCAATGCAATACAGGTGGTGCAATAGGCATGCATAGGGCTGGGAGAACTCAAGTCAGGCTTAAAGCTTTTGTGAGTTCAGCCAACATCCTGCTGCGTCCTTCTTCAGCTGTCGAGCAGCAAGCTGCTGTGAGGCCCAGCAACATTATGCCGTTTCACAGGGACCCGGTGTGGATGCCTCTACCTATTCGCTTCATCTTTGAGAACGCAGACGCCAAGCAATTTCCTGAAATTGTACAAACACCTTGCCCTTGAGTAATTTGCCTGAGTGGTTTTGACATGGCAGGGATCCTATGCAGGGGATGTGCCAGCATCCTCTGGACACTAAGCAGTGTGCTTATGTAATCAAGCAGCCAGCACGGCAATGATGATGCTAGGTACACATGATGGTCACACTGCCAACAACATGTGACGACCAGCATTTGTAATAGCAATAACGCGTTCGACGATCGTCCTTTCCTAATGAGGCTGGCAGCTACGTTGCGAGGTGCGACGCGTGGGTTTGATCCCTTAAACGTTTGCACTTTCCGAAACTAGTGAACCTCGGTGACAGTTAGCTGCTAGCATAGCTTACGGGCAGATTGAAGTACATGCAGAACATATCAATGCTTTCTTGGACCATGACTTTTAGAAGTTTCCCAGAACGATTCTGGAATCCCAGAAATTTTCAAAGGACCCAGCCCCACAGCATGCAGGGCAGGCATTCATCCAAGCCACTTTGGGTACATGGAGGAGGATTTTGTGTTTTTGCTATTTTCTATAAGGTTTCGAAGGTTTGAAGCCTGGCAAGGGAGGGCTGCAACATCCTGGGGCAGATATTCTCCAGTCAGGATTGCTGAAAGTCGTGTGGCTGCTTTGCTAGTGTCCTAGCACTTGCTGATGAAGCAGTGAGCGGGATGACAGAAGACAATGATGGCCGTAAGGGTCTCTATTGTGATGGGTACTAGAGCTATGACAGCAACTGTGCAGACACCAGGATCACCACACCTGCCAGCACCCTCAACCTCCTCGCGCCAGCACCATCAGCACCATCACCACCTTATATTGAGCCCTCAGAGGGATCATAGTTTGGGCTTTGCAAATGGAAAGCACATCGCTACTAGCATCCAAGGAGAGTTCCATCTTCATTTCTTTTTATCCACAAGATCCTCACCTTTTTGCAAGGATGGACCTCTAGAATCAATGGACTTCTACGAAATGTGTCCTTCATTTGCCACTCGTTAGAGTTGTTTACCACTTCTTAGAGGCACACGCGCCCGGATGGGAATGTTGCTTGCAGTCCAGCGGATGCGGTCACATCAGCTTAGCTCCGCCGAGCTGCAGGCAAGCTGTCGCCTGCAAGGGCCAACATACTTCGGGTTGGAAGGATTCTGGGTTCAGGGCTTGGAGAGTCTACAGCTGGATTCAGAGTTTAGGTCTGTAGAGGTTGGGGCATGGGAGGTCAGCAGGGATCAGTGCTGTGGGCTTCTTCAGGCTAGTCAAAGTAAACTGGGCTGCCTGTTCTGATTTTTGAGGGCTTCCCAATGTAAAAGTCGGCCGGTGAATAAGGGCAAGGGCACTGCTGAGGTATCCCAGGTTCGGGCAGGCACGATTAAGAAGCTGCACATGCTAACATGGTTTACAGAGCTGGGGTCAAAACAGATTCATGTTTGAAGCTGTAGCAAGGGTGCCAGTCATTACGCCGGGACACGAACAGCTTGGCATGTGGATGTAGCAGAACTTTCAGGCAGAGGTGTTCTGACCTGGATACATAAACTAACCTTTTCTTGGAAACACCTTGCCAAGCATTTCTTCCACAGCCGCTTGGCTCGCTGCTTTTGCTGAGTTTCCCACAGCCAGGAGAACATTAGCTCCTGGCTGAACGTCCTGCCGGCGTAGAGCACGGATGGCGGAGATGCAACCTGTAGAGATAGGACGCGCTGCAACTGCAGATGAGCTTCTCACGAAGTTTGTTCAGGCAACTGACATGAACGCGATACTGCTTAAGGACTTTGTGAGCGATGTTTGCGGAAATCCAGATCTACTTGCGTGGGCAAAGGAGCTATGCGCTGTAGGAGAGCCGGTTACGGATCAGCTGTGCTATTACGAAGGTCACGAGTCAAAGCCTGGAGAGTCCTTCAGGGATCAGCTGCAGAGGCAGTTGCAGGACGATCTTCAGACATGCGGTCAAGACCTGGATCGAGCATCTGTGAGTGCAGAACTTGCAGACGGAAGCCCCGGTGCTGTCAAGGCATTGATGAAACTGTTTGACCGGCTTATGCAGCTACTCGACCTCTGCATTGCGGATGGTGGCAGGGAGGAGATGCGATGGAAGCTGAAGATAGAAGTGAACCAGGATGGAGCTTGCACCAAGTTCCATGATGACAATGTCAAGGTTCGCTTTGCTTTGGTTCTAGCGGGTGATGGCACGGTGCTTCATGACAACAGCAAGGTTGACTGGGACTTCTACACGTCCTGTGAAGGTGTGATCCCCGCTCTGGCAGAGGATCCCGATCTGACCCCAGAGAAGGCCCGCAAGGCCATCCTGCAGTGGAACCAGAAGGTGGGCCCTACACAACCCCTGATTCGTACCCAGAGATGGATGCAGCCCTTCAGCAGAAGTCAAAGTGTATCAGAAATCAGAATGCCATGGCCAGGTCTGTGGGAATGAAATACCCACTGCGCCAGGGGACCTCTCTGTGATGAAGGGTGGGCGGCTTACGAAGCGGCCCTGCCTTCACAGAGCACCGTACTCTGCCGGTGAGCTGGGACGGGATGTGGGATAGTCCTTTTTTTTGTTCTTTTGGCAAAGCTTGATAAGAATGAGCGGTGAGTTGTGGTATTCGACTTGAACCGGGGTATTCAGATCCAGGTGAGGGTCGTGAGCCTGCTCACCTCCTCATTACGCTTGACCGCATCCCCAAAGACGAGCTCCAGGAGTTTGTTGACATGGACTTCGGTGAGGGTGCGGAAGAAGATGAGACCATGGAACAGCCGGTGAAGCGTGCTCGTGCTGGCCCGTATTGAGGTTGTAGACCGACACTGACACGAGAGAGCATTATTGCATCCCGAGAACATTGGTAAGCCACATGGTCTGAGAAAGTGCGGTTGCCTCCCGACACAGTAAACCAACCCTTATTAACTTGACCCTCATACCTTTCAGCCAAACTCAGCAAAGCCAACCCAATATCAGTTGTCACGACTCCAGCAACCTTGCTTGTGTTAGGCACTCTGCAGCTTGCAGGAGGAACTCGAGGCTTCCCGCTTTGCTCCGAATTGCCAACGTTGGAGTGTCAGGTTTCAAAAGGTCGTGTGTTGTAGACATGCTAAGGGGTAAGGCTTGAGACCGCGATTGCCTCAGCTGTCGTGCCACGGTCGGGAGTGAGCAATACAAAAGCAAAATAAATGTGTCCCCTTTCTTGTGCAGCTGCAGGGTCAGACTGGCGCACCCACCGAATTGAATGAAAAATGGACAATTTGAGCAAGTGCAGAATCCAAACTCTGATGCCAAGGAGGCCTGCTGGAGCGGCAATAAAGCCCCCCGCCATTTATGGGTTTGTAATCTGGAGGTCATAAGGGCTGAATCCAATTGAATGTCCGCCGGAACGTCAGCATGGGAGCCTACCTAACTCAAGGCACTACAGACAGCTGCAAAAGCCGAAACGCAACGACCTCTTCTATAAACGTCCACTCCAGCAAAGCCAGGGCGTACTCGAAATCTCAGAGTTGAACTCCAAAATCATTGTCAGAACCTGGACGCGCCTGGCAACCGCTGTGCTGCTTGCGGGACGCTGGCTGCCTCGTGGAGGACCTTGAGGCGCGATTAGCGGGGCGGGATTTTCCTGGAGAGGCAAATGGTAGCTTCCATAAATAGGGTGACCCCAATGTAGACTGTCACATCTTCTAATCCTGATTATATAGGGCAGCCCAAAAAATGGTACCCCGAATTTCGGAAACTCCCAAATCAAGGCAATGAGCGAAGATGAGTCCAAAGAGTTGCAGCAGAGCCCAGTCACCGAACACCAAGGCCACTCCCACATACCCCGTTGCAGAGGTGAGTTGTGTTGAAGCATGATTCTCTTCTTGCCAGGGCTTCTTGGTTTTTGCATCGGGGCAGTGACATCGTTGACTTGAAATCTCAACTGAGCAATCCCTCTTACGATTCCAGAAGATCACCAGTACTCTTTACACTCCTTACGCTTATCTCTGCTCATCAACCCCACAGGCGCTTTCGAGCCTGGTCATTGAACCTGATGGCTGCATGTTTTTTTCAGATCCAAACATTCAAGCCCCAAATCCTACATCCTGCAACCCTGTGTTGAGGCCTTCCATGAGAATCGTGTTCATCCCGACCACCCCTAGAGTTCTCTTCCTCTGAAGGTGGAGCAGCGTGGATGGTCGGGGCTACTGCCAAGCTTGCTGGGTGTCATGGCATGGGGCCAAGCTTCGGGAATCACAGAGCGAAACTAGAGAGATTGACAGCTTCAAGGAAAAAGAGATGCTGGAATGCTAGATGTCAAGAACTCCGGGCTTTCCGGATGCAGGTTTGCTGTGTCTGAGCGTGCTGCTGGACTTCATGGGAAGCGTAGCAGAACACATTATACAAGGAGTACATCCTTATAGTCCCTTGGCAATCCAATGTGTCCCTTGGGTTCGCAAGGGCCCCCTAGGTTGAAAACTCCATATTTACGTGCACCACAAATTTAGTTTGGCGGCGGTCCTTATCAAGAGGCTTTCTTGTGTTCTCGGACAATGTAGCCAAACTGTAACTTCCAGAACTTCCCCTCGTTTCTTCAAGCATGAAGACTATTGGTCTCAGGCAGGGTCAATTCCCCTGAACACATCATTCCTATCATGTTTGTGACTGCTATAATTACTTGTGTCATGATGCTGTGATATCTGATGTCTTTGGGATGGACGCTTTGTTGTTGCTGTTCGGTTCTTTGTTCGTCGTGACTTTTTGCTTTGCGCTGGCAGGTCTCGCGGCTTGACGGCAGAGCAGAAAAGGCGCGGTTCCTTGTGAAAGGCCGACTAGAAACCATGCTCTCATATGAGGGTTGGCTGATATGCGCTGAAGCCGACACAAAATGAGGGATTAACTTAAGTGATCTCAAGTGCGGGGCATACTAAGCACAGGAGAACCCTTTGTTCTCCAGTTTCCATATGCATGCTGACGGAAGGTCTCCTTTTCCACTTGAAGCAGTCAGTATGGTGGTAACATGTGCTCAGACTACATGGAAAGTGTATCCCCTTGAGCATTGGGTTTCCAGTCGCTTGGCTCATGCTTGTGGTGCTGCTTGTGACCCAAACTGCTAGAAACTTTCGTTTAGAGGAGCAAGCTGTCAGTGCTCGGCAGAAGCTACACCTGGCTTCGAGTGCATCGGAAAGTTCACATGTGAAAGAATTCTGGGAAAACCTGGTAACATCCTACCACTTGGCCACAAGACTAGCCCCCTTGAGCCAGTGGATGGTGCAGCGCTTGCTAGGCCGCACTACATTGGAACCTGGGATGCTGACTTGATGCAGGCGGAAAAAAGTATGTTCCGAGCTCTAAGCATTATTGGGATTGCTGTTGCTGCGATATTATTTTGCTATTTCATATATATCTATGTAGACACAGTGGTTGAGGACATTTGATCATTGGAGCACAGCGGCAGCGCTCAAACCACAGCAATTCACACAGCCCATCAGGGTAGACTGCTGAAAAGTCTTTGGCAGCCACATTTCAAACGCACTCAAACACAACAAAATCACAAGTGCCCTCTTTGCATCATTGCGCAGTGATTGAGCTGTAGCTTTGGATAACTGCATACATTGAGATCCGTGCTCTGTGCTCGCTCGATCAAAATAGAAATTTGAGCATTGTTTGAAAACAAATTCACGTCTGCAGCTTCCCATGTCCCTGAAGCCTGGCAGCATACACCAAGCACACTTTGGAAACTCCGTGCCCAAGGGATCATGACCAACCCATTTTGGAAAGTGCGAGTGTGCGATTTGGACCACTGTGTTCCATATGAGTCTTCAATGAGACGGCGTTTGAGACCGCGGTTGCGGTTGGATCCTGGCCGCTGCGGATAACATTGGAGCATTGCAGCAGAGATTAAAACCACCGCAATTTTTGAGGGTGCAACATAATCTCACATCATCCCATTGGCGCAAGTTCGCCGCCGCCCTAACTGCCATCAGCATGCCGGAAACCTTGCCTAGCCACGGGAGATTGTAGCTCGCGAGACGCTCGGCACCAACCAAACTGTCCTCCTTGTTCTGTACTGTAGTTCCCAGGCCCAGTGCCCTCCGCTGCCCGAGCCCACCCAACAAACCCTGCCCCCTACTGTTACGCCTCGGTGGCTTGAGAAGCAGCCCCCGGCTGATGGCCCATGCGCACCGGCCACAAGAGCCGCTCCCAACAGTAGGCCCAATGCAACCCACCCCCAGGGCAGCGGCCATGGTCCAAACCTCGGCCCGTAGCACCCATACACACCAAAGCTGCGTGAGCTGCTGCCTGCTTGCACGTCGGCGCGCAGCGCGCGCCCAGCCCTTCGGCACGGCGGGCTCTGGTTCCGTTCCGCCATGCTGACCGCTCTGCAGCCCACCGGGCATCGTGGTGCGACACCCTGACCATCATCCGTGCCGGGCCCCAGGGGTTGCTGAGAGATTATTCCTCCGACGGCTGCGCCTGCCGCTTTCCCTCGCGCCTGCCCTGCGCCTGCCGGGGGCAATTCATCGCACTGGGTGAACACAGGGCAGCGTGTGCCACCTCAGGCATTCGTAGCCTCCCGGGCGCTCCCGCTCGAGCGGGCTGTTGTTCGGGTCTGCTGAGGCTGGGGCCCATGTCGCGCGCAATGAGCGAGTCGCGGACAGGAAGCTGCAGGCGATCAGGGCCGCGTAGAGGCTGTCGCATGCTGCCGCAAACGGCCTGTGGCTCTGGAACTGCTCGCGGCTCGTCGTTGACGCGGCCATCGTTTCCCCGGTGGCACGAACAGGCGAGCCCCACCTTAGCGCCGACGTCCAGCAAGGGCGCGCAGTCACGCAAGCGGTTCGGCGAAAGCGGCCCGACACCCACCCCGAACTCACACGGGCGCGGCGGTGCCGCCTCATTCATTGTTACGATGAGGAGCCGGCTGCGCGCGGCAGGCGTGGTGGCCGCAAGCATCGGCGAGGCGACGGAGACCTTGGAGCAGTACTCAAAGCTGTGCTTAACAAGCGCCGTTGAATCAGCCCGGGCCTTCCTTAGAGTGATTGCACTTCGCCACATGTGCTGCAGAAAGGCTTTTCTATAAAGGCAACGTTTTTTTGCCTGCACTTGGTCACGCGTGTTGCAGAAGCGTTTTTTGGAACAAGCAACTTCGGCATGCGGGCTCAAAAACAAAGGGCGCCTTTGCACCAGCTGTGATTGCATTCCTTCTTGTTGCTGACGTGCGTCTTGCACATGTCACATTGCCACGCACGAACGCTCCCTCAGCCAGAGGCAGCGGCGCGCCGCCGCGCTTACTTCGCGCTGCGACTGCTCACGCGCGTGACGTGACCAGTGACATCGCAGCAGCAGCCAGGACGCCTGCCACCCAGTGCCGCGGCGCTGCCAGCGCTTTTGGCGGCCGAAGGTGGGCGCCGCGAGCGTGTGGGCGAGGCCGCCAACCCGGGGCGACGCGCAGCGGACTCACGTGGGGCCCCGTCAGCGTTGGAAGTCCAGCGCCAATGCACTGCCGAAGCGCTTGCGAGGGGCCGCTGCCGCCCACCAACTCTTGGATCCTATATGCCCCTCCTCCTGGATGGGGCTGGGCTCCTGTGCCCACCAAGCTGGTTGGCGTGCCTGTGCGCCTAATGCGGTGCCATGGCCCGCCTTAGTCACCGCCCTAGCCACCTCAGCGCCCAGGCTGCCGGAGGACCTCATTGCGAGCGTGTGGAGCGGCCGACGCCGAAACAAAATCAGGCCGGCCGCCTGAGGACTGGGCGAGCGCGTGCCGCGCGTTGCTGGGGCAGCCCGCGCAGCCGCTGACGCCCACTGACGCCATTCGAGCTGCCGCAGG